AGAACTCTTGCCCACCTCTAAAATCAAGTTAAGAATTTTGAAATAATTTAAAAGAAGCTTTCTGTTTTTGTCTGTGTTGTAATTAATAATGTATTTTAAAATGTCCATGTCCAAATTAAATGAGCTATAAGCTGGACTTCCCTGGTGTCTGGCTGTTGAGTCTGCCTGCCAATGCAGGGGACATAGGTGTGATCCCTGGTCTGAGAAGATCCCACATGCTGAGGAGCAAGGAAGCGCGTGCCCCACAACTGCTGAGCCTGTGCTCTAGAGACCGTGCACCGCAACTAGCAGTCCAGGCACTTAGAGCCTGCGCTCTGCAACACAGGAGGCCACCGCAGTGAGAAGCCTGTGCACCGCAACTGCAGAAAGCCCTCACAGCAATAAAGACCCAGTGCAGCCAAATTAATTAATTAAGTTAAAAAAATTATAAATGAGCTGTGAGCTGCTGTGTTTGCAGTACTTGCAGTGCATCTCCAAACACAAGGGGATTCTGAACTTCATGAAGAATAACACTCACTCCAGCAGATTCTGGACCAGCCCAGGATTCTGTTTTGCTCAGATGCTGGACTTAACCACATCACCTCTAGAGCAGTGGTCTACAAAGTTGGGCACGCTTGAGTGTGTGTAAGATCACCTTGTGGGGATACATAAGACAGTATTAGAATGCTTATTTATCTTTATCTCATTGATTTTTAATGTTTGGGGTATATGTGTTTTATAATTTATACACATAAATACATACATACTTTAATGGTACATATTTTGGGAAGAAGCTGGTTGATAGGGGTATGTGACTTAAAAAATTGGAAACCACAGCTTGTGAGGTCCTGGGCTCCATCAGTTTGGTGTGAGCATAACAAATAGGGTAGCCCTTTACCAACTTAACCCCACACCATCAGTGCTGTTAACATTTCTTCATCCTTTTTTTAGCATCTACTCGAACACGAATGCAAAAGCAGAAAATGAATGAGAGCATGGATACCTCAAACAGGGAAGAAAAGTGAGGACCCTACGACCTTGGTGGGCACCCATACACATCCAGTTTCATTGTCTTTGTCTCCTTCAGATCTGATTGTAGGACTCTCCCAGGTTCTGTTTACAGCCACAGTTAGTGAAGAAGGTAATACATATCTTTTTGTGGATAGCACAGTTGAGTATTTGTGCAGGGGATTCCTAAGCCACTGGCAACATTGTAGTCCCTATTACATGCATTGTTATTGTACAAGATTGAAAGTCTGTCGATCAAAGCTTATGTCGATCCTGCCATTGAAAAAGCTGTACCAGATGTTTGTATTTCCAAAGTACAGTAAGGCCCCTACATACGAACCTTCAAGATGTTGAACTTTCAAAGATGTGAACAGTTGAATCCAGTGAGGAACCAGAACCTGTGCCGTCAACATCAGGCATGAAGTTGCAGCTTGCCTTCCACCTCCTGCTGCTGATGGCCCTCCAGCTCTGCCGGCTCCCTCCTCCTGTCCCTTCTCCAGCAGTAACTCCTCTTGTGTTCATGCAGTGCCAGCCTGTGTGCCAGCTGTTGTACTGTACTGCTGTAGTTTTCGAGGTACTGTACTGTGACTGAAATGTTTTATTTTTATGTGTTTTTAATGTATTATTTGTGTGAAAAGTATTATAAGCCTATTATAGTACAGTACTATATAGCCAATGTGTTTGTTGGGTACCTAGGCTAATAACTCTGTTGGACTTATGAACAAATTGGACTTAAGAACGCACTCTTGGAATGGAACGTGTTGATACGTAGGGGTCTTACTTAATAATTGCTCTTTACAAACGTTGGCAGGATCCCCCAGGAGTGAGTCTCACAACCTGTGCCTATCCGAGTACTATCCAAGTCTTCTCTTGTGGCACGTATGATGTTTGCTGTTATTTTTATTAATTTATATTTATTTTTTTAATTTAACATGAGTACCCTTAGAAAATGCGTCTTGTCTTCCAAATGCAATTTGGCTGACTGCCCCCATTCACCCAAATGACCCAGAACTCTTGTGCTAAAACAGATGCTAGAAACTTAGGAGAAAATGACTGATTTTTTTACACATTAGAGTTTAGTTTACTAATGGAAACTAAATGGGTGTACTGTGTGTTTGTTTTATAAGTTTTAGTTTTAAAATGCAAACAGAAGGCAAAAGTATAAACCTATGAGATACTGTCATACTACTGATACAGGTTTCATACCTCAGGACTTGTGAGAGTTTATTGATCCTTTTCTTTATCCAACTCATGCTTTAAAAATAAAGAGTTATTAATAGTACTCTTGGTTTTTATACCATTCAGATCACTGAATTACATTAAGTACCTGTCTAGTACCTGGGAAATAAAGTGTTCAGCTAGAGCTTTGCTGTCGAGTACCTGGATCCAGTACATCCCAAGGACACTTTCTGGCGCTTCTGGGTCCCAAAGAATCAAGATACAAAGCAAATTTTACTCCACAAACGGATTGTTAACTATAGGAGCCTTAATTTTTTTTCTTAGAGAGTTTCCTAATTGCATCTCAGCAATGATTCTCCTCTCCTGAATTTGGGAAGAGGTTTTTTTTTTTTCTCCTAGAATGGTACATGTCTTCCATGTATCTTTTGAACTAGCAGTTGTCTTTTTTTTTTTTTTTTAAATTCAGCATGGTCTTACACTGGCACATTCAAAGCCACATTATTTCTAGTCCACAGTGCAGGTGATGAAAGGTCTTTGGGTTAGACATTAATGTTTCTCTCTGATTTTGTGCAGAAGCTTCAAATTAAAATAGCTACAGTAGAAAAAGAGGCGCTTTCCCCCTCCCCCTGACACCTAAAGGTGTAATTTAAACTATCTTGTGTGATTAACTTATTTAGAGATGGTATAATTTAAAATAGGTGGTATTTAAGGTAGCATCTACTAGCTTTTAGAAAATTACTTTGTTTAAACTGAGAGTTCTTTTTAAAAAGAAATCTGGTCTTATTTGTTAGAAAGCAGAATTTTATTTTGTGCTCAATTAAGTTGCAAACTTAATTTTTTGACAGTTTTCTTGGTGACACAGGCACTAGAAAGCTTTATCTCACTTCCTCATTCATTTTTGCATGAATATCATACAAATCAGTTAGCTTTTAGGTCAAGGGCTTACCACATTACTGGGTCTTTTGCTAATAAGTTCATGTTAGAATTAGTGTCAGAATTTAAGGAACTTCAGAGATTGTGTATTGAGATTTCTTACATAAGACTTCAGATACTGCTTTATTGCTTTTTGTATTGGTTAAAACTGTACATTTGAAATTGCTACATTACTATTTTCTACAATTAACAATAGTTTGTCTATTTTTCAATAAATTAGTTAAGAGTCTCAGTAGTCCGATGTGGTCTTTGTATTAAGTGCAGTAACAGTCTCTTCTGTATCTAAATTCTCTCCTAGTATCTCATCCATTGTTAGCATTTAATGGGCTTTATATGCTGATTAATCCCAAATTTATTTCTCCAGCCCTGACCTCTTCACAGAAGTCAGAGCTCTCACAGCCAAAAGAACTCAATTCCTACCCCACCCAGCTTCTCAAAATATAAACCAAAATCAAACAACAAAAAAAAAACCATCACCTTGTTTCTACCCTGGTCTTTCCCCATTTTACTCAACACATACTCGCTCAAGATAAAAAAACTTGTCTTCTGTTAGCTCATGTCTGGACCACTGTTAAGAGACTTCTAACTGGTCTCGGCCTCCCTCCTCACCTTTCTACTCCTTGCAGAGTGAAAATGATCCTTTTAAAGTGTAAATGGCTTGGCTGCGCTCCTCTCCTGGGGGTACTCACACTGGATTACTGCCTCCTTCTCGTGCTCACTCTGCTTTATCCACACTGGCCTTTTTGTCTTGTGATGCCAAGCCCATCCCTGGAGTGGGCTTTTACATTTGCTGTTCCTTCTGTCTGTAAGTGATCTTCCCCCACAATTTTGTTTCGCTTGTTTCTTCTTATCTTTCAGGGCTGTCAGCCCAGAGGTCTTCCTTGACACCCAAGCTAAAAATCCTTCCTCTGTACTGTGCTGCCGTCCTTTGAAAGTGTAACAGCATCATCACCATCAGAAATGACCTTACTCAGCTTGCCTATTGCCTGTTTACCCATCCTGGGATCAACCTGACTGGTCTCACTCACTCACTACTGTAGTTCTAGCATCCAGAAGTCCATATGCGGGGGGTGGCGTGGAAGGTGTTTTCCAAGTATATGGAAACAAATCATATTCTCTTCCTCTTTGGAGGATATCTAGCTAGAACTCCATCCACCCCGTCTTACTAACATGTACTCTGGCAGAGTGGTGACCCACTATGGAGTCTCATGGAGGGTAATCCATTTTTCATCCCTAAATAAACTTACCTGTTTTCCTCTCTGGGTGGTCCCATGTTTCCATGAAATGAGTTCATGAAAGAAAAAGGCACTGAGGAACTTCAGAAGACTGTCAGAAAAGGGCAAGAAAGAGGAAGAGAAGGTTCGGGAAGACACTGTAAAATATAAAGGCTTTTGGTCAGTGACAGCAGGCCTAGCAGGGTGAGGAGAAGCCGGAAGTGAATCAAGCCTGTGGACATCTGACCGTGACAACTGAAGCTGTGGAACGCCTCAATGTTTCTTTGCGGAGAGATCAATAAACCTACCAGGACATGCACACACATGGTGTGAGACTGTTTTAAAATAACCCACACTGTACAGTTCCAGAAATGGGATTCTGACTTAATTAGAGACATTTGGACTCCTTGGCCTCTACCAGACCAGGTCTGCAAAAATAGATAAACAGAAAGAAACAAGGATTCAAGCGACCTCACCAGTAAAGACCAATCACTCATAGGTAAGTGTATGAATAGTAATTAAACTGTTTAGAAGTCATCCAGGTTTTAGGGTCGGGTTTGTTATGATGCCTTATCTCAGTGACTGCTTTAAAAAATTAGTTTATATGAAACAATCTGTGTGTATCTAAGAGACATAAGGTGGGTAGAATCTTGCTGCTTCTGAAGAATTAAAAAACACACACATTTGTTCTGTTACTTACAAATGAGCACTTTATTATCAAACAGTTCAGCATCAGAACAAGGTTTCTAATTCCAAAAGAGGTTTCTTCACATAGTATCATATTGTGAAATACATGTTAGGACACTGACACCGCAGCCTACATCCTGGTTCAGTTTCTCGTTTGCAGTTGGGTAACTTGATCTAAAAAGTATAAATTTACCTCATTCGTGCTAGTGGTGCCCATGAAATGGAAGTATTAGTTCCTTTTCAGCTGCTACTTTTATAATCACACTGTGCCAAGTTAAAAGACCTGTTTTGTGGTGACATAAAAGTCAACTACAAGAGAAAACCATTTTTACTTACAGAGGCAAATCTCTTAACACAAAAGTAAAAGGACATTATGCAATTATGTAAGGCAAATCAGCCCAGGAATAACACTCTTTCAAAGATAGTATTTCATACTCAATAATTTCATATGAGAAATTAATGACTCAGAGTAAAACGGAGAATTAAAATTAGCCCTTGGGTCTTCAACAATTTAATTGCCAAGGCCTTTTGTGAATTCTAATTAACGCTTTAAATTAGCCACTATTCCTCAGAACAATGTACCATAATAGGAACCTCAGCTGTTTTAAATTTGTTTTGCCTAAGTTATTCCTTCATCCAGTGTTCCATAAATAAAGCTGTTCAGGCATGATTAAGATTGATAATAAGTTGAGTGCCTGCTATAGGCAAGGCACTGTGCTGGATGCTGGAAGTGTGCTAGTGAGAACACTCCTGGTCAAGCTTCTCTGTGTGGTACCAGCCTGTTGAATATGGAAATTTGGCCAGAATAGCATACACTTAGACCCCTGTACCAAAAGTCTTCAACTTAAGTGACTTGTAAGAGGAAATGGTAAATATAGTAAGACATTTCAATTTTTTCCCCTTGCGCTTAGTCCCATCTGAACAGACCATTTAATGCCTTCTCTTGTAGACAGTGGATTTCAGAAGCGGGGGAAGACTCACCACCATCCCCGTGTTTTGACAGAACATGTTCAGCCCAAATGTAGCACATCATCAACACTATTAAGAAGAAGGTATTCTCTGACTGTTGCAGGGATAGTGGAAACACTAAAACTTCTTTCCTGCAGGTGAGGGTCAGTTTTTAAAGGCTCCAACTCTGCTTGCTTTGCTGATAAAGTTCTTCAAGAGATCATGGTCCATTTCTGCAAAGCCCGAAGTCTGTGTTACTACAGTCAAATGGTTTATGCAAAACCTGAAGCAGAATTCTTCTAAGTCCTAGGGACGACAACAAATATTTTAGCAAATTCACATATCCTGATGCAATGCAACATAGCACAAAAATTCCTAAAACACAAAGGTGAGGAAAGAGGATTTGATGGCCAACAGAAAGAAATGCTGGGACAGCAGTACCTAAAGAATAGCTGTAAAACTATACAGCTGATGTGAGTCTATGCTTGTAAAAATGTAAATAACAGAGGAAAGCATTCAAGTTCCTCCACACTAACCAATGCAAAAAATGAGACATTTTCTTCCCAGAGATAGGCACCGATGTGTATTGTTCATTCCTCTTTCACTATTTACTTAGAGTACAACACTCTTTTTTTGTTTGTGTAATAAATGTTTCTTTATTGTGTGAATGTATAGAGTAAATTGACTAAAAGATTTTCTTTATGGTGAGCCCAACACTCCTCTTTTAGTCTTCTGGGGCTTAAATAGTTCTACCTGTAAAGAATTTGTGAGGAAAGCTTATGCCATGAAAGAGTCATCTGGGAAACTGCTTCTCTGAAGTCATGAACAGACCACTGCTCTTTCTCCTTCACAAGAAGACAAGGCTGGGATGGTTAGGCTTCATCAGATCACACAGAGCTTTAGTAGTCTGAAGTGGGAAAGTGCTTGAAAGAAATCACAATTTTCTGCTGAGAGAAACTCCACAGATGGAGATTTCTGGCTTACTGTAATGTACCCTAGGCCAAAAAAAAAAAAAGTCCCATAGTGATTCCCTTGATTAGATCTGCAAACTTGAGAATCAGAAATCAGGTGGCTTGACACACTTCTGGCCCCAGAGAACTGAGAACTAAGTGGAGACCCTGACGGCCTCGGGCCCTGGGCTACATGGCCCGCCGCGTCTCTTTCATGTCTGTGCTCAGCTCTCCTTGGTGAGACCTCCCTTCCTTCCTCGACCACGATAAACCTTCAGATTTCATCTCAGTCTGGCCTCCTCCCACTGCCCTTCCCTAACTTACTTTCTTATATCACTTATCACCACCTAACAGAACACATATTGTATTAGTTTATCTATTGCCCTCACCAGGAGAAAGTTCCATGAGGGCAGAGATTTTGGTCTATTTTGTTCACTTCTTGTACCCTCAAGTACCTAGAACAGTGTCAGGCATTTAATAGGCACTCAGTGGGTATTTGCTGAACCAGTGCATAAACACTGCTGATTTAAAATATGGAGACAGTAGAGAATTGTGGTAGAATGTGTGCTTTTGAAATTGGTCCAATCTGGGATTGCATGCCAGTTTTAAAATTATTATTAATAGTTTACTAAGAATTTAATCTCTCAGATTCAAGCTTCCTCACTTGTAAATTAGAATAATAATAATGCCTATATTCTTATTGGGTTCTTTTGAGAATTAAGCACGGTATGAACTGTGCTTCGAATAATCCCTGGCTTTTATTAATTATGTATTAAGGAGTTGGTGATGAACAGGGAGGCCTGGTGTGCTGCGATTCATGGGGTCGCAAAGAGTCCGACACGACTGAGCAACTGAACTGAAGTGTAGTCAAGCATGAGGGATAACTTGCTGAAAAGGTCCATTTCTTTTTTTGTCCATTTCTTATTAGAGTCAGCAAGTAAGAATACTAGTCACATCAAATGCACTGTTCTTTATAAACTTTTATGTGACGTAAGCACTGAGTCAATTTTATTTGTGGTCTGTCATACTAGTTTAGGATATAACAATTAGTCTACCTCTAAAGGCAAAGTGAGACATTCATTAAACAAACATTTAGTGAGCACCTACTATGTGTCAGGCACTATCCTAGGCACTAGGGATCTGGCAAAACAAAGTCCTTGCCATTCCTCAAGGAGCTTGCTTTCTAGAAAACAGAGGGCTGGATGGTAAGCATTCAAATAATTCACATAAATAGGAAATGTGAAGAAGTCTTGCAAATTAAGCCTAGTTCAGAGGGAAACAGTATGTGCCCACCATCTCATCATTTGAGGCAGTCCAGAAGAGTCCAGCATTACCACCGTGACTGTACCAAACTCTTGAAAAAGCACGTAGCTACTATTTGACCATGAAGCATTCTGCGTGTTGTAAGTGCCCAATGTATTATTACCTTGATGAAAGACAAATATTCACTATGCTTTTAAATGTCCATGCTTCAAGGTAAGGAAGTTTTTTTTTTTTTAATGTTAAGTGAAAAAAACCTAGTATTTAGAGATATACACATAACCTAGGGAAAAAATCAGAAGGAGCTATATAAAATGTTTGTTGATGAGGCATTTCCTTCCTCATATTTTTTGTATTTTCTGAATTTTCTTTAATAAGCATATCATAAGCAGAAAAGAAGCTATAGCCTTTTTTCTGCTCACTGCTAAAATGTCCCTGTTCTTTGACAAAGGAAAGGATATCCTTAAGGAAATTAACTCCAAGGAGTCTGGCCTGTTTCCTTAAGATTTAACTCTAAGACAAGTTTTCTTTATTATCAAAACAATACATGGTCACTATAGAAATTTCAGGAAAAACTAGCAAAGATAACGAAATAAAAATCATCTTCAATCCCACCAATTCAAAGGTAACCATTGACTATATTTTTCAGTCTTTTTTTCTATGTAGATAATAAATTTTGGTCTTTTTCAATTTAGCTATTTATACTAAATTTTTAAAGTTTTTATTTAACAAATATACTTATTAAAAAATAGAACCACAGTTTTTCAGTCAATGATGTATCTTGAATAGTATTAATGTCACTGTTCAGTTCAGTTCAGTTCAGTCGCTCAGTCATGTCCGACTCTGAGACCCCATGGACTGTAGCATGCCAGCCTCCCTGTCCATCACCAACTCCCCGAGTTTATTCAAACTCATGTCCATTGAGTCAGTGATGCCATCCAGCCATCTCATCCTCTGTCGTCCCCTTCTCCTCTCGCCTTCAGTCTTTCCCAGCATCAGGGTCTTTTCAAATGAATCAGCTCTTCACATCAGGTGGTCAAAGTATTGGAGTTTCAGCTTCTACATCAGCCCTTCCAATGAACACCCAGGACTGATCTTTAGGATGGACTGGCTGGATCTCCTTGCAGTCCAAGGGACTCTCAAGAGTCTTCTCCAACACCACAGTTCAAAAGCATCAATTCTTTAGCGCTCAGCTTTCTTTATAGTCCAACTCTCACATCCATACAGGACTACTGGAAAAACCATAGCCTTAACTAGATGGACCTTTGTTGGCAAAGTAATGTCTTTGCTTTTTAATATGCTATCTAGGTTGGTCATAACTTTCCTTCCAAGGAGTAAGCATCTTTTTATTTCATGGCTGCAATCACCATCTGCAGTGATTTTGAAGCCCAAAAAAATAGTCTGCCACTATTTCCGCTGTTTCTCCATCTATTTGCCATGAAGTGATGGGACTGGATGCCATGATCTTTGTTTTCTGAATGTTGAGCTTTAAGCCAACTTTTTCACTCTCTCTCCTCTTTCACTTTCATCAAGAGGCTCTTCAGTTCTTCTTCACTTTTTGCCATAAGGGTGGTGTCATCTGCACATCTGAGGTTGTTGTTCAGTTGCTAAGTTGTGTCCAACTCTTTGTGACCCCAAAGACTGTACCATTGTTTAAACAATTTTCTTCTAACTTTATGCTGTATTTATGGTGTTGGAGAAGACTCTTTTGGACTGCAAGGAGATCAAACCAGTCAATCCTAAAGGAAATCAGTCCTGAATATTCACTGGAAGGGCTGATGCTGAAGCTGAAGCTCCAACCCTTTGGCCACCTGATGCGCAGAACTGACTCATTTGAAAAGACCCTGATGCTGGGAAAGATTGAAGGCAGGAGGAGAAGAGCACGACAGAGAATGAGATGGTTGGATGGCAATACCCACTCGATGGACATGAGTTTGAGTAAACTCCCGGAACTGGTGATGGATAAGGAGGCCTGGCGTGCTGCAGCCCATGGGGTCGCAAAGAGTCAGAAATGACTGAACGACTGAACTGAGAACTGAGATATTTATGCTGAATTTTTTTAATTTTTAAAAATTATAAACAATGCTACAGGAAACGTCTTTGAAGCTAAATCTCTGAATCCATGATTACTTTCTTAAGATAACTTTCTATAAGTGAATTCCTTAAAGAATTAAATTTTTAAAGCTTTTATTACATATTACACCAAACTGCCCCAACTGATAATACTAATTTGCATTCTCCTCAGCAATTTAGGAGAATATCCATTATCCTGAGCCTGTACTATTTCTAAAAATAGATTTTCCTATTGACAACTGAAAAATTATATCTTATTTTCATTCTTAGTTTTCATTTGTTCATAAATCCATTTGGTCCATTTTTTTTTTCCATCAAACTGCTCATGTTATTTTTTTTTAAAGACTTATACATTAACTATGGTAAACTTGCTTCACTGTGTTAAAGATATTTTTTCCAGAGTGTCATTTATTTTCTATTTGTGTGTGTGTGTGCACGCGTGTGTAAACATTTTGATTTTTTCAGATCAGATCTATCAATCCTTTCCTTCACGGTTTCTGCCCTTGAGCTCCATCCTAACTTTATATAAACATTCCTTTATATATTTTTTCTTTTAGTACTTTATTTAAATTAAATCTTTAAGCAGAGTTTCTTTCAGTGTAAGGTGAGCTCATTGAAAGGATGCTCTTCTTACCTGAGCTTCATACTTCACGGCGGCCGATAGCAGCGCGATGGCATTCTCCTCGCAGATTCCTTGCTTGATAGTTTGTTGGCAGAGTTTTTTCAAACGATTTTCTCTATAAAATGTAGCCAAATCAAGCAATCCTGGTAGAAGGAGATGTTTATTAGGGGAGTGATCTCAAGTATCCTGATTTAAACTCACTCAACCTGTCAGAGATGATTTTAAATATTGTGTTGGCCAGAACTTTCTGTTCAGATTTGTCTGTAACATCGTATGGAAAACCCCACACGAACTTTTTGGCCAACCCAATATAATCCTCAGTGAAGGGGTATGGGAACTGGAGCTTAGGCTGACGTACACACTGTGCGTGTGTGGCTGGATCTAAGGACACAGCTGTGCTGACAGCAAGTGCAGCACTCAAACACGGAGCTGTGGGGGAAACAGCAGCAAGTGAAAATGGCCTTTCCTCCGGTTACCGCCCCCCACCCCCGCCGGAGCATCAGCACCTTCCCAGCAGCATTCACATGTGCTGTGAGAGCTTCTTCAAACACTTGCTCAGGTTTGCTTCTCCTTCAGAAGTTACTCTTCAGTCTCATGGCTGGACCATTTTTCCTGACTTCCGCGTACTCGGATGCCCAAGAGTTTAGGATTCAGACTCTTATTTCACTTATTTCCCTAAATGATCTCCAGCCTCACAGTTTTAATACTGTCTGGTAAAAACCTGATGATTCTTGTTATATTATCTGTCACCTACTTTCAAATAATACAACATAGAGTGATTTCGATGTTTAAGTTGATTTTTAAGCTACTCCAAGGGATACTGTCGGAGAAGGAAATGGCAACCCAGCCCAGTAGTCTCTTGCCATGGACAGAGGAGCCTGGCAGGCTGCAGTCCACAGGGCCGCAGAGTTGCACAAGGCCGAGTGACTCAACATGCACACAGGGACACTGTGGAAAGACTCTCATCAAGGATGGTCAGTCAGGGGGTTTCCCTGGTCATCCAGTGCCCAGGGCGCCAAGTTTCCGCTGCAGGGGGCAAGGGTCCAATTCCGAGTCAGGCAAGATCCCACATCTGCTCAGTGCAGCCAAAAAAAGGGAATGGTCAGTCAGTCATTGTTTGAAAGGCTCTTGTCAAATGGCTTCAATTATGGCTATTTAAATCTCCATTTGAGGATTTGTTAATTACCATAAAGAATGTCACTGGTGAAGTGAGTGGCCCTCAAGTTATGTCACTTGGCTAGAGAGACTGTGAGAGTCCCCTCCACCCCTGCATGAATGGGATCCACACCATGGGCTCAGCAGTCCTACACCCTGGGAAGAATAGAACACTTGCTAGGTCCAATTCAGTCCTGGTTGCCACATGATCAAAAGCTAGCTAAATCATGACTGTAGACTGTTGTCATGTTTACTTCAAGATAACCTTTTCATGGAAGGTACTGCATAGAGGGCCCAAAGGACGCAGAGCCAGGATTTCTTCAACCTTACAGTAAGTTTTACACAATGTGGTAGATTTTAGTTGGAAACTTGCTTTTGTTGTAACATATGACAAGTATTATCATAGAAGAAAGGAAGAAAGGCCTATGGCCCACTGGGGAAACAAACTGAAATCTTTTGAAATCTTGAGAGCTGTGAATGACCTAATTGTTTCTAGTCAGTTCTCAACAACTCTCAGATTCACACTGACAGTTCCCCACACCCCAGGCACCAGACTCACATATGCGTGTGCTCACAGGTAATGCCTGGATCCTCCACTCAGGAGGGCCCAGCTCTGCACCTGCTCCAGGCAACCCCTCTCCACAGTGGCCAGGGAGCCACGTGCCTGCTCCTAGACCAAACTTCGTGCACCCGGGACTCTGGGAAAGTGTGAAAGTGCTAGTCGCTCAGTCATGTCCAACTCCGCGCTCCTGTGGACTATAGCCCGCCAGGCTCCTCTGTCCATGGAATTCTCCAGGCAAGAATACTAGAGTGGGTGGCCATTTCCTTCTCTAGTGGATCTTCCTGGCCCAGGGATCCAACCGAGTCTCCTGCATTGCAAGTGGATTCTTTACCGTCTGAGCCCCCAGGGACCCTGGGACTCCCTGCCAAATCAGCCTGAGGCCACACACACAAGTGTTTCCTCCCCTCGACCCTGTCACCAAGATACAGACCCCCAGTCCCAAGGGGTGGCCAGGGCGGGATGGATGGAGCATGGAGAGTAGGCTGGGTGCCCACGTGCCTCTTGTGGTGCAGGATGTAGCTGGTGGTGGGTAAACAAAGATGGCAGATACCAAGCTGGAGGCCAGGACCCTGACCTTCCTGCGCAATGGTGTCCTAGCACGCAACTCCAAGAGACCTACCCTCAATTCCAGATGAAATGCCAACCTGGCCTCTCAGTTCTTAATGAAGGTGTATTTTTCAAGGTATGAGGATTTAACACGTTTTATTTGAAGCTTTTAGCTTGACACATAACTTTAAATTTTTAGACATGTGGTATGTGGGCCTCCTTTAGACTCTTGCCCAGGGGCCTATAGAAAACCTGCCACACAGATGTCTAAAAGGCATCTCAGACTCCTTTGATTTTTCAAACTCCAGAGCAAAACCTGGTGCTCTCCATACTCAGGCCAAACCCCCCATCCTTCTCTTTCCCTCACACCCCACAACCAACCACCAACAAATTCCATCAGCTCGCTTTGTAAGATGTGTCCAGATTCTCATCTCTTTCAACACCTCCATGCTAGACCACCTTAACCCAGGGCACCACCACCTTACATCTCAACCATTACAGTTCCTGATCTTTTCACTCCTGGAGTCGAAGCTGCCGGTGCCTCCTCCCTCCATAAAATACACAAACCCATCCTCCTTTTATCCCCAAATCCTAGACTATGTGGCTGAGCATGGCCATCTAAAAATGACCACTCCCTGCTACTTCCTATGCAGCTAATTAAGGCCTTGGTCATCTCTGGTCCCTGGTTTAAAAGAAGTGGGACTTCCTTAGCAGACACCAGGGTTTGCCCTTGGCGCCTCGCCACTGTCCCTTCATCCGTCCTGCTGTCTGCAGTGCAGATATGGCCATGGACGTGAATCCAAGGGCCACATGTAAGGATGCCTTGCACTGTGTCCCTGGGTGACAGAGAAACCACCTTGTTTAAGCTACTTCCTTTTTCCATTTTATTATTAAAGCAAAAACTAAATACGCAACCCTTACTGTCAAAATCTTCCAAGGCTGTCTATCACATCAAGACTAAAACTCAAGCCCTTCACCGTGACCTCCAAGGCCGCATCTGGTCTTGGCCAGACCCAGCTGCCTGGCCTCAGTTACCTCCACTGCCCACCTCAGTCTCTCTCTCCCCGTCCCCCTCTTCCACACGCTCCCCGTGCTCCTGTCTCAGACCCTCACGCTGTCTCATTTAGCATGCTCTTCGCCTGGGTGTCTGCTTGCTTTCCCCCTGCTCTCTCCTCAGCACACTTCCTCACGGAGGTCTTCCCTGACCTCCTGACTGACCCCTTTGATTTCTCGTTAAGGGCTGGCCTCCCTCCCCTGAGCACCAGCTCCACGGGGCAGGGCTCGGTCTGTCTCCCTCACAGGTGCCGAGGGGAGTGTGGCACACCGTGGGCCCTGGCCCTCCAGCACTGTGGGAGAAAGGAAGGAAAACTGGAAAACTTCAGAAATCACACTTCTGTTCACCCGAGGAAAATTAAATGCTGAGCTGGTAAAAAGTGTTACCAGCTTTACACATGTGAAATGAATACCGAATTTTAAAATGTGAGGTTTAAACTCTTTCTTTGGTTCCTTACAGAAGCAATTCTTTAATTCTTCTGTCCCACTGGCCAATGACACTGACAGCTGTAAGCTGAAACTGAGTATGTTTTTCACCCTGTGCCCAACTGGACACCCTGTGTTGCTTTCTTACCGTCAGTAACCTTGAAGTGCCGTGAGGCACTGGACCACGGCAGTCTGTCCCAAAGAGACAGTCACAGTTATGGAGACCAGCAGGGCTTCTTATTACATGCATCTTACCATTTTTATAATGTAAATATCTTGAAGGCAGCAGGTTGTGGAAACTAAAAAGCTGTGTACGGTGTCTAGGAAATCAGGCTGAATGGCACCCACCCCACAGTGTTGATGGGTTGATAATTCACCCACCTCTCATTTTATCCATCAAGTCAACCTTTGCATGAGGCGGGAAGAAGGAGAGTTTGGGTTTAGCACACAAAAACAGAACTACTTTTATGACTACCCTTACAGAGACTTCCTTTGAGGCTCTACACAAACCACCTTTTTGCCAAACTCTTGGTCAAGTCTGGTGGGAATTACCTACTGCCTCCTCGGGGGACAGGCTGATGCTGTCTGTGTACAGGTACTCCAGGAAGGCTCGGTAAACAGGATACGAAAATTCACTCATTTCTACAATATCATCCTCGTTGTCTTCCAATGAAGAGCGAAAATGCTCACACCTGAAGGAAGAAAGATGTCAGGTCCTGGCTTCTGGGCAAGAGCCAATAACCTTCCCAAGGAGCACGTGCTCGTAGTGATTAAAGAGGAAGCAACTAACATGCAGAGAGGAAAAACACAGACCACACACCTTTATATCCTGGCCTGGGTCCCTTGCTTCCTCTGCTGGCCAAAAGTCTGCAAACAGTGGTTTACTGGAGGAGGCTGCAAAGGCTAGCCTGCTGTGGGGCGGCCGCCTCTCTGGCCACAGACTCCCACGGGTCCCTCCCACACCATGTCCAGGGAACAGCATTTATAGAAATCAGGTGGCTTTATTTTTTAAAATTCTGAGTAACTTTGTCCTTTCTCCTCCTGTTATAGGTTGAATTGAAACCCCAAATTCACAGACTGAAGTCCTAACCTCAGAACATAACCATATTTGGAGAAGGGATCAAATTAAAAGTAGGTCATTAGGGTGGGCCCTAAACTGATACGACTGGTGTCCTTATAAAAAGGGGGTTTGAACACAGGGAGAGAGCCACGTGAAGACTGGAGTTATGCTGCCATAAGCCAAGGATGGCAAAAAACTGGCAGCAAACTACCAGAAGATGGGATGGAGGATGGAACAACCTACTTCATTCAACAAGATCTTGAATTTCTAGCCTCCAAAACCATAAGAGAATAAATTTCTGTTATTGAAACCAATCAGTCTACAGAACTTTGTTACAACAGCCCTAACAAACCACAACCTCCTCATTTTTATGAAGGTTTATGGGCAACAGTAGAAGTGAACAAATAGTGCATAGCCTGGCCTTACTAAGAAGTGAACTTGAGACTGAAACACTATACTGTGTTTGTGATTCACTGCAGGAGGATTTGGATGTCTGTTACACAACAAAATGAATTTCAAAATCATTAGGCTAGAAGCAAGAAGCCAGGCAGAGAAGAATACATACTGTTTCATTACATTTACATCAACTTCTAGAAAATGCTAACTAATCTATACTGACAGAAAGAAGATCAGGGCTTGCCCCAGGGCTAGGGCCTGAGGGGTCTTTGAGGGGGGTGATGCCAGTGTTCTGTGTCCTGGTGTGGAATGGTGGTTTCCAGAAAATATACACATGTCAAAACTCCTCAGGCTGCACATTTTAAATGGATGCTCAAAAATTACCCATTAATAAAAGTGAATTTTTAAAAGTCTATCTGTTAGTTTTACCCCAAACCTTGCTGCTCTTATCTTTTTTCAAGGTCTAAACCTACGGTATCCCACAGCTGATTAAGGAGAGTGACTCTCATGGGCTGCACTCAGGTCCTGGGCAGGGAGGTTCACTTAGGTCAAGCAGCCCCAACAGGGCTCAATAGATGCTCACCGCTGGCTGGATGGCTGCCCTCCAGTGCCAAGGTGGACAAGCTGTCTACAGAGTCTCTGAGGAAGCCAATTGTGTATGCCCTGCACCATGCCCCATCCATTGTATACGACGTCTTCTATGATTTCTTGTTTCACATATAACATATTTTCCCTGCTGTACTGTCTGCTCATAAGGGCGAAAAGATCCTTACAGTTTTTCAGAATCACTCTAGTGCCTGACATAGGTCTTTGCAACTAGAAAATAATAAACATATTTATTTCAATTCTCAAATGATGCCTTACCTGATTTTGAGAAGGACTTTATGCACATAAATGTACTTTCCATCCACCAGAAATTTCAGGTCTGCGGTGTTGGGGTTGTCAAATTCCCTCTTCAGGGACTCGGCCACTGTGAGGTGGTCGTCAGGTTCTAAGGGAATGACACCAGTGTTTTCCAATGAAAATGCAGGCCAAATATAGTATCACTTTGCTCACACTCATGAAAATACTGATTTCCCAAAATAAGTGACCAACTGAGCAGTGTGCTTTTTCCCCTAAACACAGATTTCCTGCTGCTGCAATCATTATAAGAACCTCAGACACATCTGCTTGTAAATCTGGCAAAACAACTAAAGCCCCAACCACCTCACTGAATAAACATGTTGAAAGCTTGAGTAAATACACCCGCTAAAAATAAAAGCATGGTTTCCCAGTCACATCAAAAAGCCATCCGAAGTTCTTTGAATTTTAGTATGAGGTTTCTAATACTTTTAAGGAAAATGAATCGGTCCAGTGAGTTCTCTTTCACAGGAGCCTGTGAGAGGGAAATGAATTACCTGATACTGCACTTAACAAAAGTCCTCACTACTGAAAAACAACAGCACCAGAGTTTTCTTCCTAGCTCTCAGGCCATCACCCAACAGACAGCAGTCAGCTCACCCACAGACAGCAGGCGCCACGTGACGGCGGGCGTGGCGAAGCAGGCGAACACGTCGTCGGTGGAGGAGAAGTGCGTGAGGTGCGGCAGGGTCACCGACTGGCCGCGGCACTGACCCCACATGTACACGTGGCCGCCCTGCGTCTTGGCGGCAGACGTGTGCGCCGAGTGGCAGGCTGCAATCTCTATAATTCTAGGTTCACAAACACACACCAAGTAAACAGTCAACAGGAGAAGAAACAAGTCGATTTTTCCTTCCCTTAGCATTAACTGATTTAAAAAAAAACACAAACTCTTCATTAAGCCTAAGTTTGTAAATATTCAGGCACCAAACCATTATTTACATTTAAGCAATGTCTCAATACCACTTATACATCATGAAGGTCTGCTTGTTACCACTTCTAGCCAGTAGGCCGATAAAAATATGCACCTATTTTGAAACTGAAGTACGAGCCATGAGAACAGAGACTAAAAGACCAAAAAAAAAAAGGTGGTTTAATTATTCTTAAAACACTGCTTACTTAAAGCAAATCAAAAAGATGTGGGGCATCTCCACCCAGGGTCAATAAATATTTTTATCAAAACGTCACCAATTTTAGGGTTCCATGGAGCATGCTATGGGGCATCCCAACTCACACTGCAAGCAGTAAGTGCAGTAGTTCTGACTCGCTGAACGGTATCATCTAGAACCCCAGAGAGCAGTTTTCTGGGACCAACCATTATATCAGACCCTACTTCCGTAAGTTCGTGGCTGACAGGCAGATAGTTCTCAGAACACTTCCAGGTGGAAACCACTGTTTTGTTGACTTGAAACTTACTGTCTTCTCTAAGACCAAGCCACCACACAGACTTAAAATAATATTTTACCCCAAGTGAGGTGCCATCCTGATTCTGCCTTGGGCAATGGTACCAGCATTCCCAGAACTTTAGGAAATTTAGGGTCATCTCTGACTTCTCCTCCATCCTCACTTAGCACTTTCTTCAGAATATCCAATTGGCAAAATAACAACAAATTCTTTTTTGGTAATGTCTCCCACTTGCCAGAGCCTCATCAAGCACACCCCAAATCCAGACCGATGTTAACTCTTAGGTCTCCATGTCTTAGACTTTCTCTCTCTTCTGACCTAAATTGCACAGTGCTGTCAAGTTAGTGATTCTCTTGAAAAACCATTCTCATGACTCCTTTCAAACCTTTCACTGACTTCCCACAAGACAAAAATCCAGACACATGTCCTTAAGGCCTACTATAATTTGCCTACCGTTCACGGCCGGCTTTCTTTCATATCACCTGTGCCCACACACCCTCTGTTTGAACAAAAAGTACTCACTGCCTCTCAATGTCACTATGCACAAAGTCCTTGGTCAGGAATGTTCTTGTGCACTTTGGTGGACCTTTCTTTTCCCTGATAACAAATGTTCCATGAAAAATGTAACTGACTGGAACACAACCGTGAACTTCTGTGCTAAACTACCCAATACCAGAAAACCAAAGTAACTTTACCCCTACATTCACTTCAGAAATGTTTACCATGACCCTCCAAGAATGGGAAGCAGTCTCTGCCATTCATGCAAGGAGGCGGGATGCTGCTTCCACAGCCAGGGAGTTAAAGATCCAGAGAAGCTGCGAAGGCTGGCCGTCCCTGGGCATGACTAGGGCATTTCCCTGGAACACCCAGTGCCACTAGGGAAGTCAGGGGTGGGGCTTGGGCTTGGCTGACCATAGCAGCTGCTACAGCAACGAGAAGGGAGAAAGTTTAGAGGAACCTTCAGCTCTGGGCTTGGGACACCAGCATCTGCCAAAGCGCCCTGCCTTTGTCTGAGGTCATCTGTCCTTCGTCTGATTCATACGAAAAAGCAAATATGGAAGTTCAAATTGTCCAGTCATACATGCAGTAGACAATAAACTGAGCTAAGGTTTACTGCCAGGAGGTCTGGCATTGTTGTTGCTTAGTCGCTAAGTCATGTTGGACACTTTTGTGACCCCACAGACTAGCATGCCATGCTCCTCTGTCCATGAAATTTTCCAGGCAAGAATACTAGAGTAGGTTGCCATTTCCTTCTCCAGGGGAATCTTCCTGACCTAGGAATAAAACCCATGTCTCCTGCATTGGCAGGTGAATTCTTTACTGCTGAGCCACGAGGGAAGCCCAGGAGGTCTGGCGTACAGCATGCTTTATTTTGTAGCCAGTCATTCCTACTGGAAAAAAAGTTACAATACATTGACAATAAATGGATTTGGCGTCACCTAAATAAAACAATCCACCACAATGGCACGGCTTAATGGCTAAGAGGTATGAGAACTAAAATGGCAGAGAATGAGAAAGAATGCAAAACAGAAAACTGAAGAGCAAAAATAAGGTAATTTGTGAAGAGGAAAAACAACAGGAAAGAAATCATGACCATTACAAGATCCAGAGCAGTGTTTCTCAATTCTGCTTCTGTGAGGCCAACATAGTACTAATTATTAACACCTCAAGAAGCTACAAAATTCACAAAAATTCAAAGCAAAGTGAGTTTTGAAATCAATTTAACTCAAAATATGTTTTTTATGGAACTTTAAACGCTGGTAAATCAAAGTATTGAAAATTCAGAAAGACTGGGAATGACTGAGTTAAAGAGAATCATTTTAACTATGAAAATCACTTCTCCGTGAACATAAAATGTTAGCATTCTTCATCATAAATAGGTTTCTGTGAAAAAATATTTTAAAAATCAGGTTTTTCTTGGGTTGTTATTTGAGCAAATAAACCACGTAGCCAGATTTTCACTTTCCGCTTCTGGGAACACGCAACCAAGACCTGATGATCCACCCCACCCCGAGTTCAATCCTGTTCTTTCTAATTAGCCCAGCCTCCCCACAATGAGCCCCAAGAGTCACGAGTTCCTGAGAGGTAAGTCATAATGTTCCTGCAAAGCTTCAGTCACTGAAAAGGGCGGGGAGGTGCAGAACAAGCCCTTGCAAACCTAGAGGTTCCTCCCTTGCAATATTCGTGCGACAGAGAGCCCACAGGCTCAAAATCATCGCACGAAATTCAAGCACGAGAAACTGAGAAAAGCAGGAACATCTCATTCAAAACACTCATCCTTGATATTCTAGCCAAAATCATGTTTAGGTGGACAACATTAAGTATGCACATGTTTAGCAATTTCTACTTTTTTTTACCTATATAATTTTTTTTTAAAAAATGTTTTTAAGTTGTGAAGATTTTTTAAAAAGACAGAAAGGAACAGGTAACTCTCCAGTGCCAGGTATCTGGACACTCACATAACTCCCATGCCTGTGTCTCTCGCTCTCTGGCTTTCTCCCACCGAATCGCCCTATATTCTGTCCGTCCCAGCGTGACTACGGTGAGAAGACCCGACACTCGCTCTGAGCCCATCAGGACCAGCAGCACGAGGCGGGGCAAGCTGCTGGTGGGCACATGGCAGCTGATTCCATAAGCCCAAGGACAGAGGAGTTCGGGTTTATGTGAAGTGAGGCAACACCAGAAAAATGGTAAAGCGCCATGCAGATATAGCTTGTTTTTATACCCATGCTAACTCTGGTCCTTTCACACTTCTGTGCCGTGTTGTCTAAATACTAAATGTCCTGAGTGACTGGATTTGCTGGCCTGAGACACTTTTGTGATTATTCAAAGCCTCAAGACGGTCTCTTCTCTTTTTATTGAGTGGTTCTGAACTATCTTTAAGAGAAATAAAAATGACATGGCTGCTTGTATCTCCTGTGTGCCTGTCAGCACAGGACCTTCATTATCTTCCCTCCTCCCCAGTTCTTTGTGTTGTTTGATTTTTTTTTCCTGCTTGAATGGTTCACTGCAGCATCTGGAAACCAGCATCTGGTCCTGGGCAGGCATGGGGCAGGGAGAGATCCAGGACCACCTCCTGTGGACCCCCTCACTGGTGTGATGCTAGGTATACTTCTGAGCTCAGCAGCAGAGCCCCGCCAGTGGCCCTCTGAGGCCCCGCAGCCATCAGGCTGCAGGAGGCCAAAGCAGACGTAGGACAGGGGTGCCTCCTATGATCCTGGGGTGCCGCATACATGGCCCTCGGCCCCCATCTGCCGCCAGTCTGTCTCTCTGTGTTGTTTAGTCGCTGAGTCTAGTCTGACTCTTTTTGCAAGCCTCACCCACCAGGCTCCTCTGTCCAGGGGATTCTCCAGGCAAGAGTACTGGAGTGGCTTGCCGTTTCCTTCTCCATCATCCCCAGTTCTTACGGAGTCTAGGGTCTTACTATAAGATCAGTGGTGGGTGGGGAGGTCAATACTCGAATGAAAATCAAGGGACTGAAAATGACTGGTTCTTCATTTTCACTGTTAAATATTCCGACAGAAATACAGAAAAGAACTACATACAAATGCAAAATAACTTACCCATATATTTAAAAATCAGATATCATAGAAATTTATATGTACACTAAAAATGAAAATAGCAATACTGATTTCTATGATGTCAACCCTGGTTTAACAGAAAAGATAATGAAATGTTCGTGTTCCATGCTTCTGTGTCAAGAAATGAAGAGTGAAAAGGGAGTGATAAGGCCATGTTTGAGAAGTTCAAGAGACCTTCAAAAATAGTAGGATAATTTGGGGAAAAAAACTCTGGGGTTATGCTAATCACTTATCACAACCTTGCGGTTCAATTCCTGGGTTGGGAGATCCTCTGTAAAAGGGATAGACCGCCCACTCCAGTATTCTTGGGCTTCCCGGGTGGCTCAGGTGGGAAAGAATCCACCTGCAATGCAGGAAACCTGGGTTTGATTCCTGGGCTGGGAAGATCCCCTGGAGCAGGGAACAGCTATCCACACTAGTATTCTGGCCTGGAGAATTCCACGGACAGAGAGGCCTGGCAGGCCACAGTCCCATGGGGCTGCAAAGAGTCAGACACGACTGAGCGACTTTCACTTCAGTACACAACCGTGCACGCAAGTGCACAAAACTACGTTTTAATTTTATAACCATTTGCTCTTCCTCATAGTGAGAGCCTAGGAGTTGAGGTCATGAAAAACAGCCCTACCCTTTTCAACTGGCAAATCTGATAAGTAGCTGGGTGAATGGCATTATACTCCCATCGGAGGTACTTTCATCTTCCTAAACCACAGAAGACAGACCTCAAATGTTATCAACTCCTTAAGAACGTGAAATAGAGAACAATGGGAATGAGGGGAAAGGAAATTTCTGAGTGAAAAGAATAATGCTGAAGAGCTATTGGAGGTTTAGTCATTGTAGTTTGTATAGAGTAACTATTACAGGTATAGATGAAATATGGATGACTAAAATAGAATATTTAACATACACTCAACCTTCCCCCAAATTCTAAAGCTAGTTTTAAAAAGGAATGAATGGTCTTGTTCAGGAATATTCTAATACTAGCAATAAATTGCCCATAATTCTGTATCATGCCTCAGTTTTGTTTTATCACTGAAGAACACTGAATTCATTTTGAAAATACACATATTACCTGTCCTTTTCCAGAACGACAGGGGTAGGGTAGGACTGGTTACTTTTATTGCCAGTACCCAACTGGCCGTAAGAATCTGCGCCCCAAGCATACACTTGACCTTCATCTGTTAATACTAAAGTGTGTGCATAGCCACAGGCAACCTGAAAAGAGAAAAAACAAACCCATTCAGGCCTGCAAACAGAGCGAAACATGCTTTCCACAAGATAGGTTAAGAATCAAAAATGAAAAAGGGGCAACAGTAGCCAGAGAGGCAGGCATTAAAGTCAGCCAACACCCCTCCAGATGTAGCTTAGGCCCCATGTGTGGTGAAAACTGCATTGAGATCAACATGAGTCCTGCAGTGACAAGAGTCCAGTTTAGCCACCTTTACTGTGGCATTCATCATGCTCATAGAGATCAAAGTGTGTGAAAGGAATAAGAAATAGACTCTTCTCTTTTTCAAGAACTACTTTCTCTTTTTATTACGAAAGTAAAACATAAATTCAATGTGAAAAAGATATAGAAAAATATAATTATGAAAGTCATCTTAAGGTCAGGATTGTTTATTTATAAAAAAAATATAGAAATATACATTGAAAGCTTTTTTAAAAATGATCATACTGTATAAGTAGTCCTGTATCTTTTTACTTAACAGAGCATATAGCACTATTAAAATCCTTTGTAAGCATCATTTCTGTTCATATAGATTTAGTATCACTTATTTAACCATTAACTTACTGTCTGATTGGATAAATTATGCTACATCTATTATTTACCATTGTTTTCTTTTTCTTTCATTCTTTTTCTGTTTTGTCTGCTCTAAGAACTATACCTTCTATAAGTCACTTTATCTTTGGTGCCTTAGTATATATGCCCTAAGAGCAGAATTACAGATCAAAGCGGGTGAATATTTTTAACGCTCTTGATACAAATTGCCAAAGTTTCCTTGGAAAAGACAATAAAAGTTCACATTCTAAGAGCTACGTGTGAGAGTGCATTGGAGATAAAAATTTTCTGAACTAAATTCAGGAAAATAACTTTAACCTCTACTTCAACTTTTTATCCTGCTAAGACGACTGACCTTTTTTTAGTACACTGGTATGTCTGCCACCATAGATTTAAAAACAGGCACACGTAAACCCACAGGGGACATACCCGCTGGACACGAATGCCTTGGAGAGCTGCCACCCTGCAGGGGGTTGGCTGGTTGCCGCTGCTGCCGAGTCCCAGCTGCCCATTTCCATTGTAGCCCCAGACAAAGACCTGAGAGAAAACAAGAGACTCGATGCCCACAAGAGCCGAAAAGCAATCGTGGTCTCTGTCGTGAGGCCAGCAGAACACTGAGAAGGTAGACGGGCTTTTTGCAGCGAGCCATGAAGTGCCGTTCTTACCTCCCCGGTGCTCACCACTGCCATCGAGCACATCTGCCCGCAGGCTATGTTCACAGCCACTTTGCTCTGTAAGCAGCCAGTGACGCGTCGAGGGATCGGCTGATTGGCTGTGGATCCAGACCCTACCTGCCCAGAGTTATTATAACCCCATGCAAATACCTATTTGAAAGAAGAAATCAGTAAATGAAACACGTTAATATACAGAGCGCCTCAAGTGGCACTTCTGGCCTCATTTTTGCCCTCCAAGTGCTTGATATTCATAAATCCTCACAACATAGGCAGGGAGGTTTTCACAGGATGCATTCTCATAAAATATATTACTTTATAAAATTAGGTTATTGGCATTATCTGCCTAAACAGCAATAATTATAATTGAATGTCATATAATCTTTTTAAAATATCTACTTTGCCTCAGTCATATTTTCTAGCATTTGGGAATTTTTCTTTTTGTGAAGAGAAGTAACAATACATCCTTCTACATTTTGCAGTTATACAAATCCTTACCACATACAGGTACATGTCATAATATAAACACCATGACTATGAACTGCTAACAAGAGTAAGATGAATGTGAGGTTGGTGGTTATTTTAATTAAATGATCATATTTCCATGTCTGCTATAGGAATCTATATAATCTTATTGAAACCTTATTATCAGTGAGATTTAGGCTGATTATTCTCACCTCTCCATCAGATGTTAGCACCAAAGAATGGTAAGACCCACAGGCCACTTCAATGACTTGCTTGTTCGACAGATTAGTAGAGATATGATAGGGCACTAGACCAGCATTAGTTGTCCCATTGCCCAGCTGACTGTAAGCATTATGACCCCAGGTAAAGACTTCTCCTTCTGAAAATAAAAAGAAACATAACCGACTTTCAAAACAACTACTCATTATATGAAAGTATATATATTATACACTTCCACACATGGAAACTGAAAATTCACATGCGAAAGTTAATCAACTTCCCTATTCCACAAAACTCATTTTATAAAAGAAAACACTTGGAAAGTTAAACTACATTATGCCTCACAGCAACAAGATGAAATTTAAATGGATGCAATTAAAATAACTGGAAGATAGGTTTTTGATAAATAACAGAGAAAAGGCTATTAAGAGGTAAAAAAAAAAACCCAGATTGAAATTCAAAAGACTGTAAGGCTATTTAACTTCTCTGAATCTTAATTTCCTTATTTATAAATGGTTACCAAGTTAATTTTTTAAATCTTTATTATATTACTTATTGTGCAGTATAATACATGTTCAGGGCTTTGGGGGTAATCCTAAGATTGTATTTCTTGATCTGGGTGACAGAACATGGACACATACTTTGTAATTATTTATAAAACTGTGCATATATAGTTTATGAACTTTTTTGAATATGTATTAATACTACACAATAAGGTATGTTTTAATGATAAAGTCTTATCAGTCTGAATGCATGAAAAAGCCATGAGAATATTTAATCCCTTATACTACTGACACCAATTAGAGCCATCAGTCATTGTTTAATGTCAGAATCACAGAATGTTAAGAGCTAGAGGGGATCTTAGAATCTAGTTTTAATCTCTGTTTGTAGATCAAGAATCTCAAGTTCAAAATGTCCAGAGTGAGGTTCAGCATTTTAATGCACAATAATTATACTTCTAAAGTAGGCTTATAGCACTGTCATTCTGACAACCAAAGTGCCAATAACTGCTAGATTCCATCGGCTACCTTTTCTTACTTTGATATCCAGATATGTTCATATTTCATACAGTCCAAAGCATAGACCAGTTCACAGGGCAGAGCCAGAAAGCCTTGCCCAATCAAAGAGTATGTTCTCAGTGAAAGGGGTGGTCCCAGTCTTGCTCCTCAACAAATGAAGCAATGGCTAAAATTCCACCCACCCTGTGTTGCTAGGTTACCTGTTGTTGCAAGGACAATGTGTGGCCCACTCCCATAGCTGAGGCAGGCGATTTTTTTGCCACTTAAAGAATCCAGTCTCCGAGGTTCAATGGTGCTCTGGACATCACCTAATCCCAAACAACCACAGCAGTTTGTGCCAAGCACAAAGACCTGTGGGGAAAACCACTGTTAGCTCAAGCAAACAAACCTGTAATTACATTCAAAACAGGCATAGTCCCCTTACAGGAAAACTGCTTCATTATTTAAAAAATAAGGATTTACTCTGTGCATTTTTTTTTAATCTTAATTCCTTAGTTCCCCCAAGATCTTCAATTTAGCAAACGCATTACTAAAAATATAAGTGGCTGAAATTTTTTCTTCAACATTACCTCATCATTTACTGTAGTATACAGAAGTTCATTGCTGGCACTGCCAAAGACACAGGCCTGACGAACTAACTGCAGTTCTTCCTCAGAACAAAGGGAGAAAATTGGCCACTTTCCCACATCTAACATCTTCAAAGATGACAGAGTAGCCTGGACTGGCTGAAAAAGAATTTTGTAAAAATTATTTTAAAAATGATTCATAGAAAACACACTTTCTCTGCCCCCTTCTGTTTAAGAGTGTGCACTGGTGTGCACACTATCTATTTCGGGGAATTGCCTTTACAGGTTCAACCACTTCGGACCGTTCTCACCACAACCAAGAGCCAGAGGCCCAGGAAAGAATCAGATATCACCTATTAATTTTCCTCAAAGACACTGGAACCATCCAAGGCTGAACTCAGGGGGAGGGCAGGGCTGAATGCCTGGCAAGCACTTTCGGTGACAGTTATGTCTTAAATGTAGCTTTGGAAAATAGGCTGGGGGTAAAAGCAGGAAAAAAGAGGGAAGACTGCTGTTTATCAGCTGCCTGAGTCTTAGCAAAAGAAGTCCTTGGGAAAGGACAGTGCCAAAGGTGACACCAAGGAATATGTCCAGAAGTTTCAGTTCATGGGTCAGTTCTAACCATTCAGTTGGAGCAGTTGGTGGGTTCCCTCAGGCACCCACTCAGATCTGGGGGCTGTAGAAAGAAACACCCAGAAAGTATGTGCATATGCTTGCTATGACTTCTGTAACAATGTACCACAAACTGAGGGGCTTACACAACAGGACTTTGTTGTCTCACAGTTCTGGAGGCTAAGTTCAAAGCCAAGGTATCAGCTGGCTTGGTTCCTTCTAAGGGTTGTGAGGGGAAGATCTATCAGGCCTCTCCCTAAGGCCTGCAGAGGGCTGAATTCTCCAATGTCTTTCATACCATCTTCCCCATGTCTGTCTCTCTCTGTGTCTAAATTTTCCCCCTTTTATAAAGACACCAGTCATACTGGGTTAGGTCACCCTCATGACCTCATCTTAACTAAATGATTTACATCTGCAGTGACCCCATTTCCAAATAAGGTCACCTTCCAGAATAATGATGTGTCTTAGTTCCTTTGGACTGCTAAACCAAAACATCATAGAATGAGTGGCTTATAAACAACAAAAATTTATATTTTACTGTTCTGGAGACTGGGAAGTCTAGATCAAGGCACCGACATGATTGTGTTCTGATGAAAGTGCCCTTCCTAGTTCAGAGCCCATGTCTTCTCACTATGTCCTCATGTGGTGGAAGGGCTGGGGGTCTCTCTGGAGCCCCTTTTATAAAGCACTGATTCCGTTCATGAAGTTTCTCCCCTCATGACTTAAGCAACTTCTAAAGGCCCCGCCTTCTAATGTTAAAACCATTACCTTTGGGGGTTAGGATCTTAACGTATGAATTTGGAGGGGGATACAATCAAACCCAGCACAACATCCAATAAGGTTACAAGCAGCCACACCCTCTATTCAATGTGGACATGATAAAGCTTCTTTAAAGAGAGCTTTTCCTTATTTGCTGTGTGGAAAGTCACTTCAGTCGTGTCCGACGCTGTGTGACCCCATGGACCTTCAGGCTCCTCTGTCCGTGGGATTCTCCAGGCAAGACTACTGGAGTGGACTGCCATTCCCTTTTCCACTTATTTGTTATCCTGGAAATATATACACTTACATACTTTTCAACTTCCAAAAATGTTTAAGATTACAGTAAGATTACATAATGGTCAACATGCCTATCAAATGGCATTTCCCTCAATAATCACCATGTCTTGTGCTATGCTTAGTCGCTCAATCGTGTCTGACTCTTTGCGAGCCTATGGACTGTAGCCCACCAGGCTTCTCTGGCCATGGGGATTCTCCAGGCAAGAATACCGGAGTGGGTTGCCATGCCCTCCTCGAAGGGATTTTCCCAACCCAGGAATCAAACCCAATCTCCCGCAATGCAGGCGGATTCTTTACCATCTGAGTCACCAGGGAAGCCCAAGAATACTGGAGTGGGTAGCCTATCCCTTCTCCAGGGGATCTTCCCAATCTAGGAATCAAACGAGGGTCGCCTGCATTGTGGGCGGATTCTTTACCACCTGAACCACCCAGGAAGACCCAATAATCACTATACTCTAGCTTAATGTATCTTTAAAGGAATAAAGAATTTTCTAAGGCCTGTCTTTTCTATCAGATATTAAGTCCATCTTACCAGATATATGTTCTAGTAGAGAGAAGATCAGACTAGCTAAAGGAGTCAGGGGAAATTAATTAATTTATTTATTATAAGGACTTGGCTCACAAGATTATGGAGGTGCAGAAGTCCTATATCTGCATTTGCAAACTGAAGACCCAGGAAAGCTGGTGACATAATTCAATCTGAGTCCAAAGGCCTGAGAACCAGAGGAGACAATGATGTAAACCCCAGACCGAGGGCAGAGGATGAAATGAGATCTCCCAGATAAATCAGGGAGGGAGGCAGGGAGAAAAGGATGAATTCTTCCTTCCTCTGCCTTCTGTTCCATTCAGGTTGTCAATACACTGGAGGAAACTCGCCCACACTGAGAAGAGCAACCCATTTACTAAGTCCGCTAATTCAAGTGCTATTCTCATCTGGAAACACCCCCAGAGACACAACCAGAGATGATGTTTAACTCGGGCACTAGGGGTTCACTCAAGGTGACACGTAAAGTTAACTACATGAAGACACACAGTGAAGAAGGCCATGTGAAGACAGAGGCAGAGACTAGAGCGATACAGCTACAGTCCCGGAACACCAAGGAGTGCCAGGAGCCAGCAGAAGGTGGGAGGAGGCTGGAGGACTTCTTCCCTTGAGACTTCAGAGAACGTGGCCCTGTCGACACCATGATTTCAGACTTCAAGCCCCCAGAATTGTCAGAGAATAGATTTCTGCTGTTTTACACCACCTGAATTGTGGTGCTTTGTCAGGGAGGAAATTCACGTGAAGAAACCAATACAGAGGGGAAGCAGTTTGTCAATGCTAACAGCATCGCTCTCATGAGTGGCAGAGACTCCCCTAGTGCCAAATCTGGCCACTGCTCCCCACTACGCCACTCAAACTGCAAGATCCTGTGTGGACAGGGATGTCTCCTATCATCTTTGGGACCCCTGTGGCGCTAATGACAGAACTTTGTTATGTCAGCTTTGAGTCTAAGCTTCTACTTTAAATCACCCACCTCCTTATACTAGGAAGGAGTCTTATTTACTATGAGTGGTTCATTTTAATGTTTTTCCCCTTTTAAGTCTTTAATTTTCAGAAAGAACAATGTTTGGGATTTGGCATGAATATTTCATGGAGACATGCTAATGTGCTAGTTAAAGGGGTTCTGACATATTATTGATATTTCTCATCTTCCCAAGTGAAGGACACACACAGTGCTGTCCTCATTTCACCTGGGAGGAGCCTGAGGGTCAGAGGGACTAAGAAATTCTCCAACATCACTAGCTTCTGAGTGGATGGACCAGATTTCTTTCCAAACATCATTTGTGGCTGAGTAAAAAGTTCACATAAAAAGTGACACTCCTGGCAGACCCAGTGTTTGCTCACATTTGTAAGGCCTGGGCTGCTGTGCTCATGAAGTTTTTAGTGAACAAGGCAATGCCCACCATGAGTTGTCTTCCCAAGAACAGGATAGATGGTGACATATTACATATTACATAAGTAATATACAGTAATTGACTGCTACCTTATTTTTTCCTTTCAAGAAGATTTTTGGATTTTGATTGCTACAAAATCAAGTGGTTTCTTATATGCCTAGAATCTGGCTGTCAATCCAGCCAGCTCCTTAACACTTATCTACAAATCATTAGTTCTGAGCTTCCCTCCTGGCCCACCTCTACAAAACCTATGGTACCCAACCCATAGTTCTACTGACCAATGGGATTCCAGCGTGTGGGTCTGTGACATCACCTGCAGTGGTACATCTGGTAAAGAGGGCTACTGGGTGAGAGAACACTGGGTCTGATGGTATCCGTGAACATTTACCAAGTATCAGATACCAAGACAAAAGTAATACCTAGTTATTGCCTTCACGGAGCTCACAATTTAATAGAAAACAAGTAACTACAATATAACCTAAACACAACACAAGTGTGAATATTGCTTTTTAAATCTCTGCCAGAAGGCTGGCTGCTGGAGGTGAGTCATCAAAATTTCACTTTTTTCTAATTCTGTGGGGAAACTTTTCATAGAGAACTGATGACTTCATTTATAAAATACACTTTTTTAATATACTTTTCTGAGGTAAATGTTTAATATTACTCTCAAGGAATTGAGCATCTTTGTTCTTTGAAGAAAAATACATTCTTCTGTCTGGCATAATCATGAGCATATATAGTTACATACACTGTATATATTGTATACATATACAGCATATATGTATACCGTGTGTGTGTATATATATGCATACACACACATACTTCAGGCTACAGCCCATAGGGTTGCACAGAGTCAGACATGACTAAAGTGACTTAACACACATGCACACATACACTGTATACAGTAAGAGTGTACGTAAGGATCCACACATTTTAGGAGCCTCAATCACACCACAGCCAACCTGCATGACAGCAGGCATCTCTGCAGAAGGCACCCAACCACCTCTGGGCCCAACTGTTAAGTTAGGGACTGGTTGAACAGGAGCCAAGAGTGGGCAATTAAAAAATCTGTAGGGGAAAAATAACACTACCAGGGCATGAAAGTTTGACATTTACATCATTAAGATCATGTCCCCGGAATCTGCATCCTGGCCTGGACCTCCTTTCCCCACACAACTCACCAACACAGGTGAGAATTAACCCTAGGCCAGCTCACCTTCACTACTTTGCTCATATCCAGGTCACCTCTCTCATCTTTCACAGGCATCTGTTTGGAAAGGCAAAGTGGTGAAATTTTAATATTAGCTCAAGGAGAACATAATTAAGGAAATACATCTCCATAAAGTTAGATACCAAAATGCATTTTATTATTCCTTTGAGTGTGTGCTCTCCATATTAACTCTGCTCCTGCATGCATATGAAGAACCAAGTGGATTATGATACTTAACTATGGACAATTATTAAGTTTCCACAATTCAATTTACAATACAGCATATAGAAATAGAATTAAGATTACATAGCAGGCATGCATAGTAAAAAAAAAAATCCTTCAAAAATAACAGCAGATACCTCACCCTTTAAGGATTTCCTGGCAGCATAACACCATGTAATAAAGTAATTTGGTTGCTAATACTGTGAGCCTGTTATTTCACCAAATCTGTTCCAAGAAAACAACATAGAAATCTTCTATGAACATTCTGTAAGACTTTCAGGTTCTATAGACTGCTTTTCAAGCTACTCTCCGACAGGAGCTCACAAACTAGCATGTCAAGTCAGCGCACAGCAATGCTATGGCTCAGGTTGCTGTCTATGGTTCACAGAGCTGTCTTGCACACTATGCAGGCTGTGATACTGATTTACGTCTTTTATGGCATTTTGACTACATTTTATTCTCTAAAAAGTGGAAAACAGAAAAATGAAAGTTAACGGCGGCAGTTAATATTAAGCTGTTAACACTGAAGAGATATTTCATAAATTTAATAAAATTAACACAAGATGGACATGGATGAGACTGCTGAAAGATGAGAAACTTCTGTCAGTTGGGACACTGACCAGAGTTAAGCTGGTTGACTGTAATATTTGGATGTGACAGAAATGAAATAAAGAATACTTGAGATGAATTAAGGATGTGTCATCGAAGATTAACTATTTCGAATTTTTTTTAAATCTCTGGCAGTGGAGCAACGTTGCTCAACCCAGACCCTTCTGAGGGACAGCATTGTCTGTGGAGGGCTTCCCTGAGGATTCAGCAGAGAAGAAGCCACCTGCCAACGCAGGAGATGCGAGTTCGACCCCTGCATCAGGAAGATCCCCTAGAGAAGGACATGGCAACCCACTCCAGGATTCTTGCCTGGAGAATCCCATGGACAGAGGAGCCTGGTGGGCTACAGTCCAAGGGGTTATAAACAATCGGACTCAACTGAGCGACTAAACAGCGTTATCTGTGAAAGTGGGGGTGGCCTCCTCTTCATCCAGCTCAAACGTCACCACCTCTGGGAACCCCTCCTCTAACCCTCAGACAATCCCACATCCCCTGCTGGCCCCCAGGCATTCTCTACACCCACAACAGTGACCTGCCAGCATCTTAGCCACTACACTGTGAGCCTCGCAAAGAAAAGACACTATCTCATTGATCTTCCTATTGAATGACCAATAGATGTTTGACAAAGTTTCTTTCACATGACAGAAAATACATGCTCCACGGGCATGATTTTTCTAACCTTGCCACGTTTTCCATAGAGAGTATAGAGAAGAAAAAGGTCATCTTCCAGAAAGTCTTCCATGGTTCTGTGTAGTCCCTGAGGAAAAAGTATGTGGTAAAATCAGGATACCATGTGTCGAGTGAAACTGGGCAGGTTAAAATTACTTTACTTCTAATTAACGGTTCCCTGACACCTCAGTTGGTAAGGAATTCGCCTGCAACATGGGAGACTTGGCTTCGATCCCTGGGTTGGGAAGATCCCCTGGAGAAGAGAAAGGCTACCTACTCCAGTATTCTGGCCTGGAGAATTCCATGGACTGTAGAGTCCATGGGGTCACAAAGAGTCACACGTGACTGAGTGACTTTCACTTTTTACTTTTCTAGTTAACAGAGAAAAGAAGCTAAGTTCAAATATAGTGAAGGGAATTAAGTTTGAGGCATGGGTGTTAAGAGCTATAAAACATAAAAATTGTTTTAACTGTTGTTCTCTGATGAGACTCCTTCAGCAGAGGTGTGAAAAATAATCCCAGGATAAACATATATTCCCTAGTAGAAGATAAACATCTACTAAGGAATGAGTAGAAAATTTTCATTTCAGAGTTTACTTCCTAGAGATGAGAAAAAATAAATTTTGGACCTTGGTCAAACTTCCTCTGGGACTGGAAAGTTCCAAATCACTGTGAAGAGCAGACCTATCAATTCTCAGCTTCACTGAAGAGTATATGATTTGCTAAGTAGGGAAAAAAATGAATGAACGAAAAGGACGAAAGGATGAATGAACAAATGTGACTGTGTTACCTTAGACCTTAACAAAAAAATCTGAAAAAACAGCCACCAAGCATGTAGCCATCGCACTGAATGTTCTTGCCTTAATTAACTGTCTCCACAATGACTGCCTCCTACCACACACAAGTAACTAGCAGAAGCAGCCCTGTCACAAAATATGCAGGATGTCTGGACTCTGGTTAAACTGTTACACAATCATCACTGAAAATAAATAGGAATAAATATTCTCTCAAGCGTCTGCCTACAATGTGGGAGACCCAGGTTCGATCCCTGGGTTGGGAAGATCCTCTGAGAAGGAAATGGCAACCCACTCCAGTACTCTCGCCTGGAAAATCCCATGGTCGGAGGAGCCTGGTAGGCTACAGTCTATGGGGTCGCAAAGAGTCAGACACGACTGAGCGACTTCACTTCTTTCACTTTCACTTCTCCCCCCAAAAGCAATTTAATGTAATCATGTCAAACAATGTTAATACTCTGATTTACCATGTTGGCTTCTATTTACTCAAATAAAACCCAGAATTCAAGTGCTAACAGCAGAACATCTTACTTGATGTTACCTATAAGCAGTTAGAGCCTAGCAATAGATAAAAGCAATCATCAAAATAAGGCTAACTCTTAACAGTGTACTTAATGTTTTATATTCACTTGAGGATACTGGTAAAATTTTGTTTTCTTCAGCTGTAAAAAGGTCTCTTAGCATATAGGGAATAATAAATGATACCTTCAGAATAATAGTTACTCAAACTATGGCAATCAATACAAATCATTACTTCTAATGTTTGGAAAAAATACACTTGTTGAGAAAAGGATCAATTAGACTTTCCTCACTTATAAATTTCTAAAATTTGATCTGGCTGCCAACATGGAAAAAATCATTTCATGTGGCAGTTACTCCTATATCATCTGTCTTCCCGATTAATCTGCAAGCTCTTTAAGAGAGGGGACCCGGAGCCCACACACTGAAACTAGAGAGTATCCCCTGCTCTCCGCAACTAGAGAAAAGCCTGTGCAGCAACCAAGATCCAGCACAGCCAAAAATAAATAGATAAGTTATAATAAAAAAGAAAAAAGAAGGAGGGGATCATGACCCAGTCACTGCTATTACCACCACAACACACGGCTCAGAGGAAAACACAAGATACTTGTCGAAAGCAGCTTTTGAATACAGCCTTTTGTTGACTGCAGACAGTCTACACTGGAATTTCTTCTCCTTTTGCCTCATCCTAACTGGAAAGATCTTTTCCATAGCTGTCCCCAGTTTATTGGAATAAAAGATAAAAAGAAAGGAGAGGAGTAGAGGAAGGGAATTTAAAGGCAAAAAAAGAAACAAGAGAAGGAAATGGAATCTAACTAGAGAAGCGACTGCCTCTTGCTGAACTTCAGGACACCTTTGTTCCTAGCAGAAGGAAATCCTGCTAATATGCTGAGATCACTCCACAGTAATCCTGGGGTTTGTTTTGTTTCCCTACCACATTCCTCGACCACTGTAAATAACTAAATTCACTGGTTTCTGCTTTATTTCTCTGTTTCTTTTTGCAAAATAAGTACATATATTTATGTGTTTTTATTTCCCAATTCCTCATTATACAAAGAATAGCATACTTTACATACTCTTTTGCAATCTGTTTTTTTTAACCTAACAATGTATCCCGAAAAGTACTCTATATCAGCTAATAGAAAATTTTAAACACCACCATATCCTGGCTGCTCAAGTAAACAAAATAAATAGCTCTTTTCAGTATATTTGATTAATTGTAACTACCTTAACTCTTTAAAAATTGGAATGGTGTAAAACAGGTCATTCCATTTATTTGACTAATCAGGTTAAGACATAATTACATGTATGGCAGATGAAAATTACCATACTCAAAAAAATAACATTCAGTAAGATTCAATTAACAGGAAATATATTATTAATATCACTTCATTTTTGTCAGAATGCCTTTGAAGATTTAAAAATGGTTCACAATTAATTACTATTATGCAGTACTATGGAAAAAAATGTCAAAATCTGTGGCACTGTGGAAAACGGTTTTTGTTTTTCTTTTTTCTGGTCTTGCTGCATATTACAGTAACTTAGGCCCCCAATCAGGGATTGGACCCACACCCAAGGCAGTGTGTGGAGTCCCAACCACTGGACCACCAGGGAATTCCCTGGTTGGTTTTTTAACATTATTCCGATGTGACACAAATATAATAGAGAAAACTAGCTTCCCTAGTTTACACTACCTGAGGAATACAGTTTGTGGAATATAGGTGAGGATTATAATCATCTCATCCTGTTACCTATATGATTTCACTGGGCTATTATTAATAACAATGGTACAGTAATATACCAACATATACATCTTAAAAATCCATAATACACATATAGAATACCACATTGATGATGTGATAAACATGAATTCTAAATAACAGGAGCAATAATAATAGTTAAAATAAATAGTTACCCAAATTATTGCCAAACACTAACTGCCTTATCTCATTTAATCTTTATAATAGCCATTTTTAGAAACAGATATCATCATTACCTCTGTTTAACAGACATATTTCAATACTTTGACCAACAGACACCAGCCAGTCAGGGTTGGAGCCAGGATTCATTTCAATGCCCTTGAGCTTGGACTTTCCCCTGTACTGCAGGGATATTTTAAGTTTTCTTGTGTATATTCCAGATGGTTTTATTTTGTACTGACTGGTTTGGAATATTCCCTCCAAAAATGTTTGTACCTGATTGTTTTAAATTTCTGGAGCCCAGTATTCAGTCATCTTTAATCCCGTTCCTTCTAGATCGTTGTGAAGTTGTCTTCTACAGAAAGGTTAATGTGACTGAAAATAGAAATACATAAATAAATTCTATTACAGAAAAATAGAAAAGAAAAAGAACATACCATCTTGCACAGAACACACCACTGGCTTCAAAAAGCCAGTATTTATCTGAGAAAAATATAGTTTTAAAATTGTATCAGCTAAATTTACTATTAGAAAGTCAGCAGTAGAGGTGCTCAATTATAAAAAGAATTAATATTATAAAATATAACTTTCAGATATTGTAAGTTTGAGGACAAGGCTGCAACAATATGGACACTGAAACTTACCAAAAGATACTTAAAGTTTAATCTATAGTATTTCAACATAAAAACTGCAAGGGAAATCATCTGGACAAGGAAAAAAGCAAAATTTTCAAATTTTTGAAGAGGGTATAGAAAATATCTTTATGACCTCAAGGCAGAGAAAGATTTCTTAACTGAGACACAAAAGCACAAACCACAAAGAAAAGACTGTTAAATTTTACCACACTAAAGCTTAAAACTTTGGCATTATAAAAGACAAAATGAACAAAAGGAAAAACATGCCACAGAGTGGGAAAAGATATTTTCAATATACATAACTGATAGCTGGCAAATAATTTGTTTCCATAATATATAAAGAATACCTAAAAGCAGAAAAAGAAAGACAAACAATCCAATTTAGAAATGGAAAAAGGATAGAGGCAATTCACAGAAGAAATTAACAAACATATCCACAAAAGGTATCATGGAAATGTAATCACAATGAGATAGAACTCACCAATCAGATCTGCAAAATTAAAGGGGATAATACACAGTGTTTGTGAGGATGCAGATCAAAAGGCACATTTTCCTCATATTACTGGAAGGAATGTAAACTGTTACAATCACTTTTAGAGCAACTCAACAATATTTAGACCAGAGCAGTATCTTTCAAGCTTTTTTGATACATATATGTACCTGAAAAAAAAGTTTCACAAAATAATTCTTACCCTTGCTACATGAGATACTAAGGGATATCCTCTTTCCTATTTTTTTTTTCTATTTTACATTATTCTATTCTACCTGGGAGATAGTGAAGGACTCCAGGAGATAGTGAAGGACAGGGAAGTCTGGCATGCTGCAGTTCACGGGGTCACAAAGAGTCGGATACAACTTAGCGACTGGACAACAATTCTACTCATACCCTAATTTATCCTTTTCTATTTAATTTTTCAACATTGGTTTCAGCCCACTAAGATAACTTCAAGATCATTAATAAGTCAAGTCTTGGAAAACATTAGCCTAGATGGAACTCTAGAGCATATACAAAATCATTTGCAATAGCAAAACATTAGAAATAGTGGATACAACTGATCAACAGGCTCCATCAACAAAATTTACAAATTGTGCAAACTACACAATTAAAATAAATTATCCAGAATCAACACAAATAAGTCTCCAAAACAATTCTGATCAAAAATCACTGTCATAGAATGATGTATATGATACACCATTTGATAAAGTTTTTTTTAAGACAACAATTTTTTAAACTTTATTTTTATATCTTTAAAAATATTCATTCATTTATTTATTTGGCTGTGTTCAGTCTTAGTTGCAGTACGTGGGATCTTCAGTTGCAGTGTGTAAACTCTTAGTTGTGGCATATGGGATCTAGTTCCCTGACCAGGGATTGATCCCAGGCCCCTTGCACTGGAAATGTGGAGTCTTAGCCACTGAACCACCAGGGAAGTACCAGATAACATTTTTTTCTCATGATTGATCATTTTATTAGAAGAGGGGTTGTAAGTTTCAGATTTGGGGATTGTTGACAGATTTTTCTCCAAAAGCAGTGAATTGATTTGTATTCTCACATTTAGTCACTTTAATGGCACGGTTGTATGATTATCTATGTGAGTTTAACCTCCCAGACTCTGAGACTATGTAGTATAATTGTTCATAACTTGGATTTTGGATCCAAAGTGACCTGACCTAGAAGCCCAGCTCCCTCAAATATTGGTTATGTAATTTTAAAGCAGTGACAACTTCTACCTACAAAAAAGATAATAATAATTGTACCTGCCTCTGGAGTAGGCCCATTCATTTAATACATATTTATTGAGCATCTAAATGCCAGACAATATTTTAGGCATGCAAGACAGAGCAGTGAACAAAACAAAGTGCTTGGTCCCAGAGTTCTTACTGACTAGTGGGGGGAGATAGACATAGACCAAACTATTATATATATATATAATAATTATATATAATATTCTGGTCTATGTTTATATATATGTATGTTTTAAAACATGCAGAAAACAATACTATTTTATTGTGTAATGGATACTGACATACCCATGGCTGGACTTTGATGGAAATGTTTTCACAAGAAAGTTCACACCAGAGGTAATGCCAAAGGCAAAATTTGCGATGTAATTCTATCAATGAATTAGTGTAATTTGGTTTTTCCAATTGACAAGAGAATTTTCAAGATTTTAATCTTAAGTTCAATTAATCATCTGAGTACAAAGGAAGGATAAAGTTACCCAATAGTAAGGAAAACAAAATTGTAGAATCAGAATAACACCATTCTAATACTGCCTTTACCGTGAACATAAGAATTCAATAAAGGCTTGATACTGACAACTCATAAACCACAATTTCTTTCATCATCAGTAAGATAAAATTCTACCAATAGCACAGGAAGATAATAACTCAATAACATAGAAAAAAGAGAGTATTTTAAATGCCAGGGAAGAAGGATCTGAAATAGAAAAAAAGTGCATTAGAATGTGATTTTACTTCTGATCTTACTCTGCTTACAAATTTCCCCCTTTTCTGCACAGGAGGGAGACCCAGGGCAGAGGCTGGCATTTGTATTGGGAAGCTCTTCTTCATAGCGACAGTGTCACGGCATAAGATCATCCCATATGATACCCATAATATATGTTGCTTTACTGTTTTTCCTTATGTGTATTTTGGGATACATAACTTGGCTCATGTATTTACTTAATTACTCAACTTAAAAAGTGCCCTGTGCTTTGAAAAAAAGTTTCTTATGCATTTCCTCATTTTGTTGAAGTGTAATAAAAGAACAATGTTATTATGGAATTTTAATATACTGATATTTTGCCTTGCAATATAAAAAGAAATGGAAGAATAAGTACCTTTTCCAGCCAGAAGCTCCTGCCACTGACATCTGCCTTCAGAGGCTCCAAACAAGATACTCAAGAGCCAATGTTCTAAGTTTTAGTAAGAGCAATTTTCTTTTTTCCCACACCACGTGGCACATGGGATCGTAGCTCCCTGAAAAGGAATTGAACCTGTGGCCCCTGCAGTAGAAGCACAGAGTCCTAACTACTGGACCACCAGCGAATTCCCACAAGAGTAACTCTCAAAACCAAATATATATCAACTAAGGTAATCTTCTGCATGACATTTTCTACTTTGGCTGTTTCTCTAAACTTGTATATTTCTTTTTTTTTTTTTTAAACTTGTATATTTCTAAACTATTCCTGTATGTTTAACCTTTTTGTACTGTTGAAGGTCAGTGGACAAGAGGACAGTCTTTCAGTAACTGAACACAATAAACATACCCATTCCTAATCCTCTTGAAGAACAGATCAAATAATTCATTTCTCTGTACAAAGCATATAATAAGCAATCTCTACATGTTATTACTGGTAATCAGAATTATTCAGTGTTTGTTAATATGGCAATGTATCATATTACTTGATAATACCTCTGACCTAATAAGTTCAACTGATAAATGGGCACTCATTTGCCTAATTCATTCAACAAATATTGATTTAGTGCCTGCAGCAGGCACTAAATTGAAAGCAAATATGTAAAAAAAATAAATGAATAACATAGAGCAAAAGGATATCCAGCTCATAGCTGCCTGTGTCAATATTACTCCAACCCAGTAATAAGCATGGACCTTAAGCACTAATAAACTAGACACACTGTCTACAAGAGAATGCACTTTCCATATAAATTGTTATTGTGCAATTAATTAGAAGCTCCTAAATGCTGGTATCTGTTCTCTAGAAGTGATCCCAGAGGAAAAATTAAAAAAAAATAAAATTGTTTTTTTGCAGAGAAAGGCTCAAAGCTCCCTTGGTAAAGAATCTGCTGGCAATGCAGGAGACCCTGGTTCGATCCCTGGGTTGGGAAGATCCCCTGGAGTGGTGAAAGGCTACCCACTCCAATATTCTGGCCTGGAGAGTTCCATGGAGAAGTCCATCAGGTCACAAAGGGTCAGACATGACTGAGAGTAAGCCCAGTGTTCTGTATTTTCAAAATTCAACTTCACAGTATGAAATCAACTCTAAAGCTATGCTTGAGAAACTTAATATATAAAAAAGTTTTCTTGCAATACAATGCTTAATGCTTTTTCAACAAATTTGCCCATCTGGGCAACACAGCTGATGATGCTTTTATAATCAAAGACACAGGGCATGAAGGAAAACCAACGCCTTTTAGGACACCAGCATACAGCTTACAGTATCAGCATGTTAATGAGCTCCAGACCAAGTAAATGTCAACGGGGTAATGATGGTGCCCACCTTCATGCTTACTTGAGCCCTTAAACGGTATGTCATCTGAAAGTCAGAAATAATATAAATATGCATAAATGTTCAGTTCAGTTCAGTCGCTCAGTCATGTCTGACTCTTTGCGACCCCATGAACCGCAGCACATCAGAACTCCCTGTCCATCACCAACTCCCAGAGTTTACCCAAACCCATGTCCATTGAGTCACTGATGCCATCCAATTATCTTATCCTCTGTCATCCCCTTCTCCTCCTGACCTCAATCTTTCTCAGCATAAGGGTCTTTTCAAATGAGTCAGCTCTTTGCATCAGGTGGCCAAAGTACTGGAGTTTCAGCTTCAGCATCAGCCCTTCCAATGAACACCCAGGACTGATCTCCTTTAGGATGGACTGGTTGGATCTCCTTGCAGTCCAAGGGACTCTCAAGAGTCTTCTCCAACACCACAGTTCAAAAGCATCAATTNACACAGTCGAAGGCTTTGGCATAGTCAATAAAGCAGAAATAGATGTTTTTCTAGAACTTTCTTGTTTTCTCGATGATCCAGAGGATGTTGGCAATTTGATCTCTGGTTCCTCTGCCTTTTCTAAAACCAGCTTGAACATCTGGAAGTTCACAGTTCACATATTGCTGAAGCCTGGCTTGGAGAATTTTGAGCATTACTTTATTAGCGTGTGAGATGAGTGCGATTGTGCAGTAGTTTGAGCATTCTTTGGGATTGCCTTTCTTTGGGACTGGAATGAAAACTGATCTTTTCCAGTCCTGTGGCCACTGCTGTTTTCCAAATTTGCTGATATATTGAGTGCAGCACTTTCATAGCATCATCCTTCAGGATTTGAAATAGCTCAACTGGAATTCCGTCACCTCTACTAGCTTTGTTTGTAGTGATGCTTCCTAAGGCCCACTTGACTTCACATTTCAGGATGTCTGGCTCTAGGTGAGTGATCACACCATCGTGATCATCTGGGTCGTGAAGATCTTTTTTATACAGTTCTTCTGTGTATTCTTGCCACTGCTTCTTAATATCTTCTGCTTCTGTTAGGTCCATACCATTTCTATCATTTATATTCTATGCATTTATATTACATGCATAAATGTAATATAAGATAATTAAACATGATCCCAATTATCCCTTGCCAGCTGTCATAAATCAATGACAAATGACAGTAAGATCCCTCCCTATAAAACTGCCAACTAAAGTGGGTCAATTAGACAGGATGGACAAGACAAGAAAAACTAAAAGCCCAACTAAAACCAAAGCACAACTTCAGAGGGAATGGTATTGCCACATGTTTAAGATAAACAGCAAAATGACTTATGAAACAGAAACATAGTTGCCATTTTAATGATTCCATTGTAAACAGTTTCCAAATTTCACTAAGAGTGATGAAGCAGATCTTCAGTTCAAAGCAAAGTTGCATTTAGTTGGAAGAGATTACCGAGCTCATCCGCACTGATCTTTTCAGACAAGCAAAGCAAAAGTGTCACTTTCAAATATGAAAAATCATCAACATAAACTATACAAATATTTTTAGATTGTGGCTTAAGACAGTAAAGAACCTGCCCCCAATATAGGAGACCTGGGTTTGATCTCTGGGTCAGGAAGACCTCCTGGAGAAGGGAATGGCTACCACTCCAGCATTCCTGCTTTGGAGAATTCCATGGAAAGAGGAGCCTGGCGGGCTGCAGTCCATGGGGTTGCAGAGTCAGACACAACCGAGCAACTAACACTTTCACTTTCACACACTAGCTAAAATGAACACATACTTGAGACATTTGTAAATACATTTGAAATTTAGATCCTTATAGATCTAACACAATTTTTTTAAGCCCTTAACATGGCTATTAAATAGCATTCTGTTAAAGATCTCTGCCCCACAATGTAAATTCAACATGGTAGCCCCTTTTGGCCTTGGCTCATTTCCATTTGCAATTCCCATTGTTCAATCAAATACACTCAGCATAATACAGAATATATTATAATGTGGTCACAATTCATGATTTACTCACATACTATGACCCACTGGTACATGTCAGCTCAAAATGTCTTCCCTGGGGACATATACATACTGGATATGAGGTCAGGTTAGATCAGCAAGGCTGAGACATATAAAAAGCACACTCCAAATGTCAGATTAATGCTGAAAAAAACTATTATGTCTTAAATTCCCTGGAAACTTTCACGTTAAGATGAACTCGCCATGTAAATCAGACAAATGTTCCTTCTGAATAGTGAAGGCAAGGAGGATCCTACCAGTTTTCCATTGAAGGACACTATGAATATCCCTTTCAGAGAGGGAAGTTTATCTGCTCCTTTTAAGTAAATATCCTCATTTAGGGCTTCTCTGGTGGCCCAGTGGTTAAGAATCCACTTGCCAATGCAGCAGACACAGGTTCGATCCCTGGTCCGGGAAGATCCCACACGCCATGGGGCAACTCAGCCTGTGTGTCACAACTACTGAAGCCTGTGTGCCTAGCAAGAGAAGCCACGGCTGTGAGAAGCCTGAGCACTGTAACAAAGAACAGCCCCTGTGCAACAGTGAAGATCTGTGCAGCCAAAAACAAACAAGCAAACATACTTAAAAAAAAAAAAAAACCCTCATTCAGCCCTCCATGTTTAGCTTTCAATAGGCGTCCCTGATGTCACACTGCAACCCTGATCATTCCATTCCATTCCATAATTCCATTCCCCTTCAAAGAGATTCTCAAATCTTTCCTGGTCAATTCTGATTTACAGGAAGTCAATTTCAGCAAACCTCAAAGGTAACAGCATCCTTAGGGGCATTTTAATTTCACTTTAGCCATGTGATAAATCCAAAATTAGATATGACAAACTCCTAGAGTCATCAGTAAATCCCTTGGGTACTCTACATTTACAGTTTTAGATTAGTAGCTTTTGATGTTTAAACACAGTGTTTGTAATCCACTTAAGTAAAGGACCCAGAGGGAAAAACACTTCACTTTCTAAAACTGTTCCTCTCCATCAGCCTCTTTCTCTAAGCAGCCTTTAATTATGGACTGCAATTTGGCCAGGATTGTCTGGTTCATTCAGAAACCTCTAAGAGCAATAATTTAGTACCTTAAAGCATGATGTCATACCAGGTGACTCTTCAACTGTTTCAAATAAAGAAAATCAATGACTACTCATACAAAACAACTTCACCCGGTCATCCATAGTCAGAGGGACATCAAGAAACAACTGCAAAGTGCAGTAAAATGTGAAGAGAATACACATTTTTCCTCCACCCATCTGTAGTATTCATTTGGCTCATCTTATCTATTCAAGAGCCCAGTCTCTTCATCTGATGTGCTGCATTAAACTGTAAAAGCATGAATATTGTGAACTTTTTGGAAAAGACATTTTCTCACCTATCTACTACAAAGGACAGTTACATTAGCCATAATGGACATGCTGTGTGGGTCCCATGAAACACACAGTAGAGAATGGTGGGGAAAAAAAGTTTTCCCAGAAAGATAATTCAATTCTAAAAACCAGTTTTCCACCATGAATATCACCTTCAGTTTATCCTTCAGACTTACCAAAACCACGCTGTTTAAAATTGCAACCCACATCTAAATCTCACTTCCCTTTCTCTTTTCATTTTTTTAGAGCACTTACAATTTTCTAGCACAATAAATAATTAAATGTTTGTTGTTAATCATTCTCTGCTAGAATTTAAACTCCAGAGGAAAGAGATCTTTGTCTATTTTGTTCACTGACTTACTCTAAACACCTAAGACAATCTTAATACAAACTAGTCACTCAGAAAATGTTTTTTGAATGAATGAATGAATCTACCTTGCGACTTCAGTATAAAATATTCTAGAGCTAAATACCAATTTCATGTGCACAGTTAACAAAATCTACCGGGACTTCCCTAGTGGTCCAGTGGCTAAGACTCCAAGCTCTCAATGAAGGGGGCCCATGTTCCATCCTTGGTCAGGGAACTAGATCTCACATACCTCCACTAAGAGATCCATTCTGCAACTAAAGATCTCACATGCAGCAACAAAGACAGAAGATCCAGAGTGCCACAACCAAGACCCAGGGCAGACAAACTAATAAACAAATGTTAAAAAAAAAAAATCTACTGAGCTGCAATTATGGGGGAGACAGTGCATACACATACGTATCCATAGTATCAGACAGTGATAAGTGCTACAAAGCCAAATAGAGGATTAAAAAAAAAAAAGCCTAAGGGGATGGAGAGTGACAGAAGTGCCTTTTTAGATGAGGTAGTCACCTTTGAAATAATGGCAATTAATTTGAGATCTTAATGAAGCTGGGTGCCATGCAGATTTGGGTAGAGGGGTTAAGCGAACTTTGAGCATGGAGGAAATGCACACGGCCGAGGGTGGAGGCGGGCCTGGTAAGTGCAGAAACAACAGTAAGGCCTGTGGGGAAGGAGTGGAGTGTGCAAGAATGTGGTATTCCATTACTTTTGCGTGCGTGGCTGCTAAATCCCTTCAGTCCCGTCAGACTCTGCGACCCTATGGACTGTGGCCAGCCAGGCTCCTCCTTCCATGGGATTCTCCAGGCAAGAATCCTGCAGTGGATTGTCATTTCCTTTTCCAGGGGATCTTGCTCACCCAGATA